CGATCTTCAAAGCAATCCAATAAGTAAGTAATGCTATTATGTCATACAAGAAAGAAACTGAGGCACAGAGAGATTAAGCAACTTACCCAAGGTCACTCAGAAAACAAATGAAGTATGGACTCGATCCAAGCAGTCTGTCTCCAGAGCCCATACTTTGCAGCTTCCTTCCATTATGCTGTGGTTTCTCCTGAAAATTTAATGCTGTTCTGGAGCCAAGACCCACACCCTGTACTTTTTTAGAAATCTCAAAGAATTCAGAAGTCAAAGCTGAAAAGGTCCCAGGAGAGGTAGACAAGTCTGGTAACTGTACTACTGGGAAGACACTCTCAGTACAAAATCAGTATTTCCCAAAGAACCCACGCATAACACTGGTAATATGCTAGATGACTTTGAATATGCATGCATAAACATTTCCATTTTAATAGCTATGTATAATTAAGATATGGATTAGACAGACATTATGCTAATTTGCATGTATACAAATAAAACAATTATTACTTTTTAATTTTGAGAAATATCAAAAATATATAACTGAAAAAAATATTATAACATATAGAGCCATAACTCAATGCAGAACTTTTTGCTATTATATTTATTTACTGGTTTATTCATTCAAGAAATATTTATTGAGCATTTAATATGGGTTGGCACAGTTCACAAATAAACAAACAAAAATTCCTCCTCCCCTTTCAGCAGATCTGACTATACATTACTTCAAAGAGACAGGACATACATACATCAAATAGGCATATGAAAACATTCTCAAACATTACTAATCATCAGGGAAATGCAAATAAAAAACAAAATGAGATATCATCTCACAGCTGTCAGAATTGTTACCAATAAATCAATAAATAACAAATGTTGGCGAGGATGTGGAGAAAGAGGAACCCTCCTGCACTGTTGGTGGGATTGTAAATTGGTGCCACAGCTATGGAAAACAGCATGGAGAGTCCTGAAAACATTAAAACCAGAATAACCATCTAACCCAGCAATACTTCTGGATATTTATTTGAAGAAATCCAAATCACTAATTCCAAAAGACCTATGTACCCTTATGTTTACTGCAGCATTATTTAAACAGCCAAGATATGGAAGCAACCTAAGTGTCCATCAATAGATGAGTGGGTAAAGAAATATACTACACATATACAATGGAATATTATTCAGCCATAAAATAAATGAGATCTTGCCATTTATAACAACATGATGGACCTAGAGGATAATATGCTAAGCGAAATAAGTCAGAAAAAGACAAATACTATATCATTTCACTTACATGTTGAATACAAACAAACAAAACAAAAACAAACTCATAGATACAGAGAACAAACTGATGATGGCCAGATGGGGGATGGGAATGGGTAAATAAGGAGAAGGGATTAAGATGTCAAATTGCTGAGACAACCAAGATGGCGGCATAGGTAAACACCTGAACTTGCTGCTGCGGACAACCACATTAAAACTACAACTAAAAGACAAAACGAATAGCATCCAGAACCACGGGAAGGCTGGCTGAGTGGAAATTCTACAACTAGAAGGAAAGAGAAAAGCGCATTGGGTCCGATAGGAGGTGCAGAGGTGTGAAAGTGTGGAGGTACGGAGGCGCGTGCAAAAGGGGCTGGCAGCTGGGTCTTTTTCAACCGGGAGGGAGATACAAGCTCCTGAATGCTCTGAAATCCAGTTCTGGGCAAGAATCTGGGGACCCAGACTCATACAGAGAGAAACTGTACTGTCTGGCATCGGGCCGGAACGTGAGAGCAGCTTTCTCACAGAGGTGCTTGCAGCGTCCATGGTTCCTGCGTGGGGGCTGAGGGACATAGAGACCCAGGGACCTCCCAGGGCAGGGACGATGGCAACGACTGCTGTTTGCACTGCCCCGTGACTCCCTGAGACCACGCCCCACCCAATTTACAACCCCACCCAAACTGTGCAAAGAGGCTTTTGCATACTAATGGCCTGGCTTTTCTCCGCCTAAAAACCTGTCAAACTGCAGCTGGGTCAGAAAAACCCAGAGCTTCCAAAAGGCCTAAGGCTCGTCAACAGCCTGCATTACTTCACAGCTGTGCCTCATCTGGGCACCTCCAAACCCCAAGAAAAGAGAAGTAATCTGCAGATCTCTCTGTAGCTCCTGCTGAGTGGCCTCAGGCAGTGGGTGACTTTGCATCCCCTTGGAGATCCAAAAGCCAGTATACCCAGTGGTCAGAGTGAGACCATCCAGATTACAACTCTTCACATCCATAAGAGACACACTTAGGGGGCAGACTCAGTGAGCGCCAAAGCCCCACTGAAGCAAGTCCTGCCCCATAGGGTGTCTCCAGCACAAAAGTTCTCCCATTGTAGACTCAACTGGTCCTCACAGCCAATTGACCTGGAGATCAATTCCTATCAGTGATACCAACAGCAATCAAGGCTTAACTACAACGAGACTGTGCACACAACCCTAACTGGTTTGGATCAGTGGATAGAGCATGGGCCTGCAGACTGAAGGGTCCCAGGTCTGATTCCGGTCAAGGGCATGTACCTTGGTTGCGGGCACATCCCCAGTAGGGGGTGTGCAGGAGGCAGCTGATTGATGTTTCTCTCTCATCGATGTTTCTAGCTATCCCTCTCTCTTCCTCTCTGTAAAAATCAATAAAATATATATTTTTTTAAAAAAAGACTGTGCACACAGCCCACAAACGGGTGCACCAAGAGTGTCCACCTCAGGTAATTAGGGAGGTTGAGCCATTGGGCCCTAAAGGACACCTCGCACACAAAGCTACTCTATCAACACAGGGAAGCAGCCAAAATATGGAGACAAAGAAACAGGTCACAAATGAAAGAAATGGAGGAAAGCAAACTACTGGATATAGAGTTCAAAACCACTAAGGTTATAAGGCTATTCAAGAATATTCTAGAAACCTCCAAGAAATATAGTGAGACACTCAAGGATCTGAAAAAGGACCAATTAGAAATTAAGCATACACTGACTGAAATAAAGAATAATAAACAGAGATCCAACAGCAGACCAGAGGATCCCAAGAATCAAGTCAAAGATTTGAAATATGAAGAAGCAAAAAACACCCAATCATAAAAGCAAAAGGAAAAAAGAATACAAAAATATGAAGATAGTGCAAGGAGCCTCTGGGACAACTTCAAGCGTACCAACATCCGAATTATAGGGGTGCCAGAAGAAGAGAGAGAACAAGATATTGAAAACCTATTTGAAGAAATAATGACAGAAAACTTCCCCTACCTGGTCAAAGAAATAGACTTAAGTCCAGGAAGCACAGAGAACCCCAAACAAAAGGAATCAAAGAGGACCACGCCAAGACACATCATAATTAAAATGCCAAGAGCAAAAGACAAAGAGAGAATCTTAAAAGCAGCAAGAGAAAAACAGTTAGTTACTTACAAGGGAGTACCCATATGACTGTTAGCTGATTTCTCAACAGAAACTATGCGGGCCAGAATGGAGTGGCAAGAAATATTCAAAGTGATGAATAGCAAAAACCTACAACCGAGATTACTCTACCCAGCAAAGCTATCATTTAGAATTGAAGGTCAGATAAAGAGCTTCACAGATAAGAAAAAGCTAAAGGAGTTCATCACCGCCAAACCAGAATTATATGAAATGCTGAAGGGTATTCTTTAAGAAGAGAAAGAAGAAAAGGTAAAGATAAAAATTATGAACAACAAAGTGACAACAAATACATATCTATCAACAAGTGAATCTAAAAATCAAGTGAATAAATAATCTGATGAACAGAATAAACTGGTGAATAGAATAGAATCAGGGGCATAGAAAGGGAGTGGACTGACAATTCTTGGGAGGAAGGGAGAGTGGAAGGTACGGGAAGAGTCTGGCCAAACATCATACACCTATGGATGAGGACAGTGGCGGGGGGGGGGGGGGGGGGGGGGTAAGGGAGGGTGGAAGGACGGCAGGGGGTTGGGAACCGGGTGGAGGGGAGCTATGGGGGTAAAAAGAGGAACAACTGTAATAATCTGAACAATCAAGACTTATTTTTTAAAAAAAGATGTCAAATTGCCAGTTATAAAAACAGTCCCAGGGATGTATAGTACAGCACAGGAAATATAGTCAATAATAATATTGTAATAACTGTGTATGGTGTCAAGTAGGCACTAGACTTATCGGGCTGATTGATCACTTTATATATTATACAAATGTCTAATCACTGTGTTGTACATCTGAAACTAATATAGCATTGTATGTCAACTGTAATTGAAAAAAAATTGTTAAATCCCTGTTCTTTCATAGCTTACCTTCTAGTGGGGACAGATAAAAAAAAATTTAAGGTAAAAATAAATAATATATTAAGAGGATAAATACTATGGAAAAATAAAGTATGCTAAGAGACGGGATGGCAATGAAGAGAAGAAATAAAATTTAAAGTTTAGCCTTTTGAATAGAAATCATTACAAATACAGTTGAAGTTTCTGTTTTACAAAAAAAAAGAGGTCTGGTTTTGCTTTAAGTTCCTTTTACTGGGCATACCCTCTCTACCATGCCTATTTTTTTAAATATACTTTTTATTGATTTTTTACAGAGAGGAAGAGAGAGGAATAAAGAGTTAGAAACATTGATGAAAGAGAAACATCCATCAGCTGCCTCTTGCGCACCCCCTACTGGCCCGCAACCAAGGTACATGCCCTGGACCAGAACCTGGGACCTTTCAGTCCGCAGGCCGACGCTCTATCCACTGAGCCAAACCGGTTAGGGCAGCCATGCCTATTTTTATTACTGTTCTGCTAAAGCCAGGGACAAATTTCATTTTAAAATAAATAAGTAACAAGTAGTCAAATAAAAAATAACTTCTGCATGATTAAATATCTAAAGAAATTATTAAATATTCATTAAATATATTATTAAATAACTGTGCTGCACAGATACGGAAACCGAGAGGGTAGTGTTTGAATGTGTAAACAGGGGAATTGTTCACCACCACCCCGCGGATCCTGTTTGTGTGGACGGTAAGGGACAACGGAACCACTCACCCAACATGACCGCGCTGAGCCTAGGCCTAGAGACGAACGCTCCTCATTGGGCCCGAGGAGGACTGTCTGTCCCCTGAACAGGGCGCTTCCTCCGCCGGCAGGTGTCCTCCCCGCTCACCTACAAGCCCTTCCCCGTGGAGACAGCGGAAGATGAGCACTGCAAAAGCAGCGGGGCCATCACATCCCACCCCCTGATGCCCACAGACCTTCACTTACTTGGCGCTCACGGTTTAGGTCCGCCTGCCCCACGCTTCGTGGCCGCAAACATCTCCCACGCAGAACTGCTTGGCCGTAAGGCAAAATTGCCGTAAAGGAGATCAATAACGACAAACGAAGGAGAGAGATTACAAAGGGCATAATGAAACCTGAAAAAGTGACTAGCAAAGTTAAAGACTTCATTGCAAAATACAAAGTATGCGAATACGTTTTGGAAGGTCTGTAGCCTCAAGGTAATAGCACTCAAAGAGCTGATCTTTGTACCTAAGCTCGCATCTTCCTTCTGTGGGAAATGTGGTCCACTCTGCCCTCAGCGGGCCCTGCCTCTCTTCTCTGAATAGGATGTGTTTCAAAGTAACAAGCCACCAACTCCTGGGGAAAATCCTCATCATCTGGAAGAAATGCTATTTTAAGACCACCAGCACCAAGTCTACTGGTAACCGTGTAGGCCATTATGAGGGCTAGCTAAGATTTCTATGTAATATAAAAATGGAGTCACTGTGAGAAATTCGTCCAAACTAAAAAACCCCACCAAACAAACAAAAAAAAAGTCAACCAGTTAGTTTCTTTTTTACGGAGATTGATTCGTCAATAGAGAAATGAACCCCTACACACACACACACACACACACACACCCCTAAATAAATACATAAATACATAAATACATAAATAAATAAATAAAACCCACACTGTCAATTGGTTTACAGTATCTTTTACGACACAGTTTCCTTACTGCCAATTAGTGATGCTGCAAAAATGCGGTGGCAAAGATGATTGTGGGGAAAATCCCGGGCAGTGATGCTGATGTGGAAGTGGGTGCAGACTGTGTGATTGACTTTCAGGCTCTGGGGGGAGGTAGGGCCCACCAGCTGCGCAGAGCAGGAGTGCTGAGGGTGAGCTGTAACCCTTTTCTCCACAAGTGAGATACCTTTAAGTCAGTTTTGTCAGAATAAGGCCCTAGTATCAAGGCCTTTTCCATGCAGGAAAAAGTTCTCTTACACTTTCATATTAATTATGTAAGAATGAGTAACAAATGATTATAGTTAATATTTACTGAACATTTACTATGTACTAGCCATGCTAATGCTCTATATGCATCAACCTATTTAATTGTCACGATAACCTGTCAGGTTCTATGATTAGCACCATTTCACAGGTGAAACACTTAGGTTCAGGGACGTTAATTAACAAGCCCCACGCCATTATCCATAGCAGTGGTTCTCAACCTTGGCTGCACATTAGAATCACCTGGGAATCTTTTTTAAATCCTGATTTCCGGGCCTCATCCTCCGGAATTTCTGTTTCTTTGGTATAGGGTGGGACCACAACATTAGTAACAAAGAAACAGAATTTCCGGAGGATGAGGCCCAGAAATCAGGATTTTAAAAAGATTCCCAGGTGATTCTAATGTGCAGCCAAGGTTGAGAACCACTGATCTACAGTAAATCAAGCCCAGGCTATCTGGCTCTGAAACTTACATTAATCCCATTTGAACCTACAAATAACCCTATGAGGGTTATAAATAACCCTAAAATAACTCCTTTTCCTGGCAGAGTGGTATAGTAAAACCTCAATATAACGTACTAATTCGGGCAAGGGGGTGTTTATTAAAGCTGTAAGTCCACTATATAATAACGTAGATTTTCCAAATTCGTATGTTAAAAATTTGACAACTTAGTTCATTTACCTTTATGTAGGCATGTTTGTGTAATCAAAATTAAGTATGTATGAAAAGTTTAATTTCACATAAAAGTTCCAGTCACCGTGAGTAAACAAATGCACACAGCTGGGGTGTGGAAACATTGGCCAGCACCTGTTAAGACTGCTGCAGAAAGTCACACCACGTGACAACAGAATCAATTACCCCGAGATGCAGTGTGATCACGTGCTAATCACTCCCCGAACATTGTTTACGAGAGGTGACTCTTGGATTTAAATACTTAGACTGTAGTTGTAGCTATGTCATATTTATTTATGTTGGTGAAATTACTACAATGTTTTGTCCAACATATGACCTATTCACTAAAATTTGTTTAAAAGAACAGTGAATTAATAACAAAAAAATAACCTGTTAATTTAATCATAAGCAAATCTTGGCTAAAATCATTTAAAAATTAACAGGGTGTTAGTTTTCACACATAAGATACAGAGCGAAAAATTTGTCTGTTAAATCCAAAGTCTGTTTAATCAAGTTCCAAAAAATCAAGGGTTTACTGCAATGGTTAAACAAGAGCAGATGTTAGTGTTAGAAGAGCCAGAGTTTTAATTCTGGCTCTGCCTCTTATTAGCTGTGTGAATTGGGGAAATTTATCCAACTCCTTTAGGACTTAACGTCCTCCATTAATCTTTTAATCTTCAGAGTACGTACTTTTAATCTCTCGGGCCTCCCTATATTTGTCATTGTCATCATCATCATCATCATCATCACAGATAACATGTATTAAGTGTTTTCTCACCTTACTTTTCCCCATATTTGTAACTGCCACGCTATTCCTTTAATTTCTTGGATTAAGACATGAATTCGATGTACTACTGCTACTGGTAATCTTTATTGTACACATACTACATGCCAAGTGCTTTTAGTGCATTATCTCATTTGGTCTTTACAACTACTGCATGAGATAAATACCAGTGTCATCTATAATTTATAGCCAGAGACAACTCACCTAGAGCTCAATACTGCTGACCTCACTCCTTGGGACCTCCAAAAGAGCATTCATGAAAATGGCATGGAATTTACCGCAGGAAATGAACTAAAGAGGTTTGGAACTATCCACCAACTTGTGCTACGGAGAACCCTGATTGCTCAAAGAATTTGTTTCCTCTGTTCCATCTTCCTTTTCCACAGGGTAGTGTCAATGAACGCCGGGACTTCTTCACAGGGGTAGCTGGAAAAACAGTAAGACCAAGCAACTCTCCTGAAAAGAACAAGGGAGAACAGTGCCAAGGAATCAGATTCTTGTTTTATTGCAAAGTCCAGCCACTCCTTTTGCTTTATAACAACCTTGAGTGGCATTGAGTAAAAGATGCTACAAAGGACAAACATATCTGGAGTGATAATAATTTCCTATTACACGACATAATTTTCTCCATATTTTTTCTGATCGCAAACTTAGTACATTTCACTGGAAAAACCGTACAAAAATGCACAAATAGCTGAGCTGTTTTGTATGTTAGAGTCTAGATTTCGATTCAATGTAAATTATTTTCTTCCCGTGCCTATGCACCCTTGCCCCACTTTTAAAGAGCCAGAGTCCAAGATAAGCGAGCCCAAGAGCATCCCAGAGGGCAGCAGCACAGATTCACTCCCCTCCAGCTCCTCCAGCGTTTCGCCCATCTCCCCTCCCCCTTAGTCCGATCGCTTACCATTGGTTATTACCATGACAACCAGCAGCTGCCGGGACGGGCAGCCTCTACCGCAGCAGGGGAGGGGCTGTGGGGGAGGGGGCAGGAGAGGAGGAGCCAGAGGAGGTGTCTGCTGCAAGTTCCTGGCTGCTTCTGAGCTCACCCCATCCTCCGAGAGGGAGGAGGCCCAAGTGGTGATGCTGGTGCTGCCGCCGCCTGGACTGCTGGTACTCTAGTGGGGCTGGAAGGGTGGTTCCTTTTTGCACCATCGCCATCCAGAGACTGAGGGTGAAAAAAAAAAAAAAAAAAAAAAAAATCCCAGCAGCCGCTGCTGATGTTGGGTTCGGAGGCTGCATCCGACTCGGTCACAAGGAAAATGGATTCAGTTTGCACCTCTCCCTCCTTTCAACAGCTTCTCCAGGTCTCCGCATGGTGAGTAAGACACAGTGGAGCTATCTTCTTGGTTTAGTTTGTTCCCAAATGCCCTGTGTATACATCTGTGGCCTGCACTGGAACAATGACTCCCTTAGAGTGGGAGAAGATGTAGAGACAGAGATGGGGATGGAGATAGAGGACGGTTGCCAGGAGGAGAGAAGTAAGAAGGCATCCGCTCCCGTTTAAAAAAAAAAATGGTGTTCTGATTTTATCTTAACTGGCTTAGAATGCAGTGAGCTGCTTGGTTCCTTTCCTTCCAAGCTTAGCAACAGAACCAGGGGGTGGAAAAAGCTAACAAGAAATGGGTGTTATTGAAAGGAATCATTTCATTTGCTGCTCCCACATTCAGGGCTAGGCCTTCCTCCAAAACACATTCGGTGCCTCATAAGCTTCTCTGTCTAATGATAAGGTGATTTTGCTTCTCTCCCTCATTGCTTGGGAAAGGTGGCCCCAGAATTGAGCGTCCTATTCCGTATTCTTATGTGCTCTTGTTGAGAAACCATTTGCTGGGCACAGTTTCATTTTTAGTGCATACATTTCATTGTGACTACACAAATGTATACTCTATGGATATGCATAACATATTATACACATTACTTAGCACTTAGAGTGCATTTATGAAACATATTTATGTGCAAAGCGTTCTTTGCAATCATTCTTATGGGTTATCAAATGCCCTTGCATGCTTGGAGGTAATTGGATATTTTTGAAAGTATGCTTCTGGTTTGTGAAATTATTCATTGACTTCATCTGGATTAATGTGAGATTTATTCTTGTTATTGCCCATCAGTTTTGTTGTGACCAATTAGGACAGATGCCTGTCATTTAATATGTATCGTCGCCCTAGATGTGAATTCATAGCCAGCCTCTTTTTTTTATTTTTAATTAGGTTTGTGAGGGGTGATTTGAGAACCCGGACTTGACAATGATGGGAAAGGGAGGTGGCTTGTGGTATTATTTTGTGTACAGCGTCTTGCCAAATGATTGTGGAAACAAATCAGTTTTCTTGGAATTCTACCCCTTCCCTTTCATGTTTGTGCCTTGTGTCCCAGAAAGCACAGGCAAGCTGGATGGTGAAATGCATTCATTTTATTTAATAGTGATGCTATTTGCTGTTCATTCCTTCAGTATCCAGGCACCATTTTAGAGTTCTCTCAAATGTTGTATTCTGGATTCACTTACTTAGGTGGTCAAGTAGGAAAGTGAGATTGTTTTGAAAAAATCTAGGTATTTCCTAAGTACCCTAGCCATTTCCAAATGAATCTGCTTATACAGTGAAATGGAATAAGAGAGAGCAAAGCTTAGCAAAAGAATGTGTGGCTTGTAGCCTAAATGGGGGTGGGGGTGGGTATTGTAGTTTACAAATGCTTACTGGGATCTGCTTGACCTTTGATTATGCCAAGGCTTTAGGATAGCGCAGGAGACTAAAGATGTCTAAGATGAGTAGGGTACAGGCCTCCATTACCACCCAGGATAATGGATTTCATTGAATTAAAGCCAGGAAAATCCTTGCAGGTAAAAGTGTGTTAGTAGTATTACACTCATCACATGAACTAGTTTCAGCCATCGATCTCATTTCTAACAATATCATTGTCAGTACAAGCATTTTCTACAGTGTAAAATAGCAGTATTTTTGGTTTTAATCTTTCATTTTATTTTACCCATCGCTCCCCTTCACTTAAAAATTGTATATGTATTTGAATCAGGTTTATAGTTTAATTTCTCTGAGAATAAATGTCCTTTTTGGCTTATAGATGGGAAGACTCTTCAGCAACTTAATGGAGAGAATGCACTTAACATGCTTATGGCATGTCATATATTATATAGATGCACAACTCTGTGAAGTCTTGCTACCATGTGCCTAATTATAACAGCTACATAAAGTCAAGCAAGGAAGTATCCCTTGGGCTTGTATGTCATATCAAAATTTTCACACACTGCATCCTGAATTTTTTAATGACAACTTTTGACCTCCCAAAATTGCAATTTCAGATATATCTACAGTAAGCTTTAAAGAATCAAGACATAGTTGACTCTGTTTTATGCAATGAAAACAGGTATCTTGGGGCTTTGTTTTCTTTCCTTTGTGTTGACTTTCCATGGGGATATGGTTTTATAGGTGATGTTGGTACAATTTGAGCAGAGGCAAATCACTGTAGGCCACGGATATAGAACTAACAGTCATATATTTCAGCTACGTGGTCAGACCCTGATATGAATACAGGTCTAGATTTTGGTGCCACAACTTGAGGCGATTACATAGCCTTTGAGGAGGAGCCACAGAAAAGTGAATTATGTATAAAGAACTACAAGTTGAACTCTTTAAGAAAGGATAAGGAAACTAGGATTATTACATTTAGAGAAACCTGAGAGATGACAGTTATTTGCTTCAGAGAAGCTGAGGGTTTACATGTAGGAAATTGCTTCTTGCCTATTCTTGGGGACCTAAAGAGTGGAAAATGGGATTCACCTGCATTGGGAAGAATGGAGATTATAAATACAAAATGTAGAACTTTCTGATAGCAAATTTGAGTGGTCCACTGGGTAACCAGATAGGGCAGTGCATTCTTTTCTCATCAAAACCTCCATAAATATGACCTACACATGAATTTATTTGGGATGGACTAGATTCTTTCTCAAAAACTTCTCTGACTTTCTAGTCAACTGTCCATTGAAGAGTGTTTCATATCATGTACTTCTAGACCTGTAACAGTCAGACTCCATTTTGTAAGGGGCTTTTAAATGACAAAATCTGGATATTTTTTACAAAATCAATTGATCATCTGCACAGAGAAATTTGTATGTCATCTTGTCAGGATGCAGGGAACTGAAAAATGGCCATTTCACGAGAGTCCTTTCCCAGTAACTCTATGGAGTGTGACGCCTAATAGCCATATTAAAGTTATCCCTTCTGTATGGCTAATTTTGAAAAATGAAATGGGGTTCATTGGGGGCTAGATACAAAATAATTCAAGAGCCATCAGACTGATGTCAGAACAAAACAAAATACATATAAAAGGTACATTCAAACCCTGGCTGGTGTGGCGCAGTTGGTTGGGCTTCGTCCTGTGCACCGCAAGGTTGCCTTTTGGGTTGCCGGTCAGGGCACATGCTTGGGTTGCAGGCTCTATCCCTGATGGAGGGAATACAAGAGGCAGTCAGTTGATGTTAAGCTCTCACATTGCTGTTTCTCTCTCTTTCTAAAAAAAAAAAAAAAAAAAGGCACATTTAAATTATTGTGTAAATGAACTGTTTAACAGCTAATTATCTTTTTCTCAAACACTATCTTGAAAATGCCATTCTGGTTGAGATAGTAAATATTTTGACTGGTACTTAAACTTAGGTAAAACTTGTTTTAATTGGAATAAAACACATTATCTGATTTCTCACTTTCTGATAGGATGTTCCTTATTTCTTTAAGTGATCTCAAAACATATTTCAGTTTTATGTACATGCTTTCAAGTCTCAACCAGGAAGAACTAGAAGGAGAGTCAGAACCATTTTCTTCATTTCTTATAGGTTTATCAAAAGATTAATGCTTGTTTCCAATGGTTGGAGCCTAAAAGAAAACCAAATTTATCATGGAAGTTTTAACATAATATTTATACTTGGGTGTTATTCTGAGAGGTCAGTTACAAACTGAAAATGTGTTTTCAAAGGAGATGGATTAATTAATTGCAAAACAACTTATATGAGTAGCAACATTTGCTTATGTTAGCACATAGAATTTTTTGGAGGATTTAAGATGTACACATGTGAAAAGTTAATGACAAAAATAACGCATCTTATATTAGTCATTACGCCTTGTATTAATACTAGAGGCCCAGTGCACAATATCGTGCTTGGGTAGGGTACCTAGGCCTAGCCTGCAATCAGGGCCATCTTCTGCCTGTTCACCAGTCCCCAGTCCCACCCCGCCACCAACACCCACCCTGGTCCCCTGTTCGCCATCTGGTGATCTATTGGAGCCTGCAGGCTGCGGGGAGGGAACAAGAGGTCAGTCGTTCTGCCCACTTGCCAGTCCCCAGTCCTGCCCCACCGCCGGCACCCACCGTAGTTTCCCGTGGTTCCCCATTGGCCATCCAGCTATTGGAGTCTGTGGGATGGGGGAAGGGACCGAGAGGTGGTCAATGCACCTCATAGCGACTGGTCGATCTGTTGTTCTGGTTGTTATGCCGTTATGGTCGCTGGCCTTTTATTATATAGGATAATCTTTTGTAGTTCTCATTAATTTTACATTGTTTATTTTTAGCTTGTATTCCTCCCAGTTCTATCACTATAAGTATTTTAAATAAGTGGGAACAGTCTCAGAGAGGTTAGACTTGTTCAAGTTGGGGTTAGGTAAATGGCCTAACTGCAGCTGGATTCCAAATCTCATGATCCCAAATGTGCCATATTAGAAAATGTAACAAATTACCTTGCCAATTTGAATTTTTAAATATCAAATATAGTAGATCTGCATTAAATGTGGCTCATCTCTATTTGGATTTTTATTGGAATATTTCAGGTGCCATGATTTGCTCTTTGATCATGTTGAATTGGTTCAACAGACTAAGTGTATGGTTAAGGTATCAGAACAACAACAACAACAAAAAATGGTGCACACAAGAATTATTTTGGAAAAACTTTGAGATTCCTGATATTTCAGAAAAGCACAAAAGCATTTGTCTAGGGAAAAGTCAGAACTATGTTGGACTGCCCTGCACTTATTTTATGACCAAGTACTATTTTTATTTTTAATGAGAGTTTGGAAGGTAACATCATTTTATTCTGTGCTTTGGACCTTGAAAACACTTAGCCATACCTCCTACCTGTATGTCCTAAGCATCTCTCCACCTACGTGTTCTTAAAAAATAGAAAGGGCATTAAATAATAAACAAGTGTACATAGCTTCAACAACTTCCTGATATTTTTCCCGAACAAACACTTTTATACTTTTCTGAAATATCAAAAGTCAAGTAAGTACCTTTCTCCAGAATATTCTAATTTTTGGTGCC